CTTTTCCAAAAAAAAAAAAAAAAAAAAAAAAAGATCGACAACAAGTCTCAATGCAATAAAACCATCTACCCAGACAACCTCACCGACACGAGCGCCCGTGGAGAAGTGCAGATGCCGGGGGACACGCAACGTCCGCCATCGGTCGCGGAAGAATCCATCGCAGGAGGAGACGCGGGTGATGGCAACGATGAAGATAAAGGGTCGGCGCGGGCGTTCGGGTTCGATGCAGGCAGCACGAGCAACGCTGGCAAGTGGAAGAACATGCACCAATAGACGTTCGACATCATCGCCGAAGTCAGTAGGCAAGTAAGCGGCAATGTTCCATCCTGGAACGGCAATGCGACATACTCGAGCTCGAGGTCGACGCCCAGAAGCGGCACTACAAGGCGTCCGACGATGCGAACAGGATGATGTGTAGCGCGTTGATGGAGATTGTGAAAGCCATAAGGGATAGGTCCTGATGCCGCCTTAGCTCTGCGGTCGGTCGTCATGTCGATGCTTGCATGGCCGTTGCATCCCTCGCTTGTTTTTCGTCGGTGCTGCCGTGATAGCGCTAAGTCGGCATGTCTTCCTTCAAGGGGCGTGGTTCATGGCATAGTCGACGGTTGGATCGCTCACGTAGTCGAACATTTTTTCGATTTTTCTGAAGTAGGAAGTTCAAGTCGTCACGCCGGGAGCGCGCTGGGGCAAGGGAAGGTCTGTCCAAGCAGTATAAGGGTCAGTGCAGGTCTGCTGCTGCGCATGTGCTACGCTTCGTAGGCCTCAGTTCCTTGTTTCGCCTGACGGTTGTCTTCCACGGCGTGAGGAGTTCATCGTCTGTGCTATCGCTATACACCTGCGCTATCCTCACGGGCGCGTCCGTCGGTGGCATAGTACGTAGACGCTTCACGATCTGTTCGTTCGCCATCGCCCACGGGACGTGGCAGACTCACTTCGCCTTAAGTTGTGGGATGGGCGAAATTGATCATTAGCGCATGGTGCCACGCGGACAGTCCCAGTTGAAAAGGTGAGACGGTGGATCCGACGAAGGCGGGGGCGGGCAAAGCGGAAGGGGGCACATCCCGAAATCGAAAAAGCCTTGCGATGATGGATCGGAGGGTGCGATGGGGTGCCAAGGGGGAGAAGATGTCTCAGCCGTGGAGATCCCTTCGACGGGGACACGACGCTTGGATTTGGGAGAGACAACGAAAGTAGGGAGCATTTTTAAGCACTAGCCGCCCTTGGTGTGCCATAAATTGGTCATGGTGGTGGAAGTGGAAGGGTGCGTTCTCAAGGGGTCGTCATCAGCGAGTCGGCACCACAAATGTCCGTGACTTGAATGACGACGATCGTGTCCGCTATTGAACGTGTGGACAAAGGACCCGTTCATGTGCCACAAGCGCGCCATGTGGAGCCGTCGAACACAAACACGGTCGGAGGGTCGTCGAGGGAAGTCATCTCATTGTCGCATGTAGGAAGCGGTGATGTCTATGGGCCAAGCACCGCTGCGGGGGAAAGGCGAGAAGAACAGGGGCCCGGTGAGGCGGGGAGGAAAGACGAGAGGAGGGATGGCACTCCGCGACCAAACGACGAGGACGACGAATCTCTTCGCATGAGGAAGAAAAAAATGCGGCAAGAAGAGGAGGCGAAGTCGAAGTTGCGAACAGACGGGAACACATTCCGGAGATGTGGAGTTGGTCGCCTGATTGCGGGCGCTATGCACGATTGCATTGACTACTACTGCGCAATCGTCAATGGTGATGCAGGCGCTACCGCACCGCGTGGCCTCATCATGCCACCCCCCGACGTTCCGAGTTTGCGAATCCAAGATCCTTCGCAACAGGACGCAGCCCTTGGACGGGCGAGAAGGACAAAGAACGTCGCTATGCGCATCATCCACGGGTGGATCTTCACGTCGTCTTCAAGATCCAACGGTTTTGCCCGCGCAGAGTCCTATGTCGCCGCTGATTACCCGACCGATCTAGCGAGAGCAGTTTGGCAAAGCATGGAGTGGTCAAGGGTAGTGTCGCCTAGTGTTGTTTACCACATGCTCGCTCTGAGGATGGGCATTCCATTGTGGTACGTGAGGGCCTACATCGAGGACGCTGCCCATCAAGAGTCCACGGTTTTGCGTCTGGCTTCCTACTTTCACGATGCACTCCGAGGCGGCCATCTTGAATGGTCCGACAACGAAAAGATGTCCCAATCAACGTTGAGCAGATCGGGAATACCTTCTGCCTGCTTCTCGCCGCATGCATGTGGATCATGCGCATAGGAGGCGATGACGTGCGCTCCCACGAGGAGGCGTCGTACTACTTGCAGCTCGTGGCAAAGCCTACACTCATGGCGGTAGGGTTGCAGTCCTTCAGCTGGCACCAACATATACTCCAGTCCGCAAATGCAGTTTTGATTCGCCTCAGGAAGCCGCCCTTGGCAATGGGTGCGTATCCCGAATACATCCCGGAGTGGGCTTCGTGTGGAGCGCAGTTCAACTACCACACTGGTTTGGCAGACCTCGACGTCGCGGCAAGGATCATTGAAGGATGGATCGGATGGGGACTGAACCTTTCGATGGCGACCGAAAGGCGGACGGAGGTGACGACGAAGAGGGGTCATCAAAATGGTGGAGGTGCCAGTGTTGCGCGTCATGCCATCCTTCTTTGGCCATGAACTGGAAAGATCCGGAGTCTTCGACGGCACGCTCGTCGACATAGATCGTGAGTGTCAGGGAGAGGGTAGGTACGAGGTGGTTATTGTGGGGCGCTTTCACGTCAGTCCACCCGGTTCGGTCTCTTAGGTAGATGAGCGGTGTGGTGGTCAAGTCGTTCACCAGTGTGATTGCGTGGATAGAGCGCCGTTTTGTTTTTATTTCTGTAGTTGTGTACCATGACATGTCGCCCAGGGCGGTGCATTCAAGTCACAACCAACCGCGGAGGTGGTCGAAAACTTTGTCGATTCCTTATGTCTTTGTGCAACATATGCTGTTGTGAATGAAGGCCATGAAATCAATGACACCTTTTGACAAATCCCTTAACAACATCAGCGGAGTTCATATGTCCGATTATGTGTGCGTGGTTCACAGTGTTTTCTCGCAAACAATGCAAACAACCCGCAATATTGTGTTTTTTTTTTTTTTTTTTTTTTTTTTTTTTTTTTTTTTTTCGATTTCTTTTAATTGCAATTGTCCTCTCTCTCGGCAGAAAGGGTTTCGCTGCAGGCTTGATTGACTGTCTCATCGACTGTTCGGTTGATCGACTGCTCTCTTGATGGGTTGATCGGTTTATCGATGCATTGACCGATCGATTGATTGATTCAATTTTGATTGGTCGATCGATCAATTGTTTGTTTGATTGATTGGGTTTCGCTGCAGGCTTGATTGACTGTCTCATCGACTGTTCGGTTGATCGACTGCTCTCTTGATGGGTTGATCGGTTTATCGATGCATTGACCGATCGATTGATTGATTCACTTTTGATTGGTCGATCGATCGATTGTTTGTTTGATTGATTGACTGATTGATTGATTGATTGATTGATTGACTGATTGATTGATTGGTCAATTGATTGATTGATTGATTGATTGATTGATTGGTCGATCGATTGTTAGATTCATTGATTTACTGTCATTGATTGGTTTGCTGCGCTGCAGAATTGCGGCGATACATGTATAAATCACATAACAAGTATTAACAACGGCAATACTATCGTCCACATAAAAACTGTGATGAGGCATCGCTCCCTCGCTCTTCCAATGTTCGAGAACAGAAGAAAACCATCGCCAAGAAAAAGGGATAAAAAAAAACTATATTAGAAAAAAAAATCAGAAAACAAATGCAGGGAGTCAGCCAGCAATCACACTGCACGACATTGCCGCCAGAGCACAACAACACCCGTTGAATCTCGAACATCCCTCTGTAAGAGATCGATGCACAAGCTACCATCGTGGAGAAACTTCGCACTTTCACTCGTGCTTCATACGCTCCACCAGCGCTTCGCACAGGGCCAGTGCACGGGGACGATTGAAGTTCTCCGCAACGGGGTGGAGAGGTTGATCCAAGCCCAAGTCCACTCGCCGGCGCACGCCATTCGCGTCCACCTCCCACAACAAGTTCTCGTCGAAGTCTATGCCTGCATCATGGAGCATGTTGTGCAGAATGCACACTGCTTGGAACTGTTGTGGGAGAGTGTCCATATGCGTTTTGTGTGTACTTAGGAAGAACCTCCACATCCCCTTCAACTTGAATCTTCCGAAAGCTCTCCACTGCTCCCCTGGCGACCTTCTGCTTGTTGTCGAACTTCTCCTCGTCGGCGCATTCATCGGTCCCTCCGTAAGGCACAACGATCCACTCCATAGGAGTATAGCCGTTATCCCCGAGGATGTACGTGTGTGTCTTCACCCCGAATGGAAGCACCATAACAGGTCCACGGAAAAGATCCCCCTCCTTCGCACGCGCCCACAGACTGGAAGACTGGAACACTTGAATGTCGTGGCAGCTCCTGGGATACCCGACGAAAACGTCTGTGACACTCAAGTCCAAGTCCACCACCACCTGTGCAACAACCGAAAAACGATGCTTCCAGTCGAAGTAGTTCTTGGAAGGTGCGTTCGCCAGTTTGTCAACATATATGTGCGAGCAATCTATGCAGCCATAGCAATTGGGGAAACCGTTGGCCTAGAAGGCGTGTAGAACGACCACCCGCCGCAACCCGGAAGGCCAAACGATCTTCTCCCAGTACACCCTCAGAAGGGCCCGAGTCACGTCCTCCACCGTAATCAAGCCTCATGCGCGTCCTATGCCGAATGACGATGTGATGCTCTCGTACGTCCGAGTCTGCCCGCTCGCCCAACGATAAGGCCCGTACACGATGATGTTATTCGGCATCAAAGGCACCTTGTAGAATGTCACCCTCCGCTGCAGATAAGGGGACAACGCCTCCACGATCTCCCAAAACACCCTAGGGGACATCCTCAACTTCTCCTTATAGTACCCGTCCGCCGCGTCATCCATCTTCCGAAAATCCTCCCATGTCCCTCCCGTCCTTCTCCTCATCCACCACCTCGGAGTCGCCCGCGGGATCACACCGAACGCCATGGCGCAGCAAAATTGCACAATGGATTCTGATAACGACACAAAGTCGGGCGCCTCCATCACTTGTTGCATGAGCTGACGCTGCCTGCGAATGGACAACCTCATCTTCAGGCGAGCTATCGTTCTCTGTATGCGATATCCCATGACAACTGCCGACACAGCTGCAGCCACCGCATTTCTCTCGAAAGCCGTCAATGTATTCGCACCGCCCCACAACTCTCCCTCCATCTTAATGACGCTCAATGCGGAACTGCCCACCACTGTTTCGATCGCCGACACCCTCGCTCCGATGTCTCCACGTGGACGAGAATGGCAGCATCACTACCCACGTCTTACGGAGGCCTGACGTGCGCACTCAGCTATGGCGGCCCGCACGATTGTCGCGGACGGGCCGAATACGAATGTGTAACTCCTGACTGTTGTCGCACTCCAAGACCATCACCGTCCGGGCTGCGTCGGGCCGCCTTCCAATGCCGGCGTATTAAGCGATGGCCGGCAGCACTCCTCCGCAGATGTTTCGCTCTGGTGTGCGCTGCACCGGTCTGGACACCCCGGGTGTGGATGCGTTTCAGCGAAGGGTTCGAAATTTGAAATTCGAACAGGGATGTTCGCGGCAACTTCGCGCCTTTTTTCCCCCCAGCCCGGAAGGCCTCCCTGCCGCCGCCACCGGACCACACCCGAGGACGCACGGACATCCCACCCCACCGACGGACATCCAGCCCTGCGGCGGCATATGTGCATATGAAATTGGCCGCAGGAGACCTCCAAGGGTTTTCCTTGGGACCCATTCAATTAGGACGCGGTGTAACGACGACGCCGAAAACCGGATAATTTTCCAAGGACCTCATCCTAATTCCTGAGGATTTTCCAAGGAGGGTCTAACGAGGCCCTTAGGGGCTGATCCGACTACTACTACGGAACGTAGTCTACTGGGTTTCACGGAGTCCGACTACTTTCCGAGTTTGCAGGTCTCCCCCTCGAGTTTGGCAGCTAGTGAAAACAAACGTGTACGTGGCAGGTGTTCCGCGACCCGCGGTGAAAAAGAAATTGCCAAAATCGGAAGAAGCCAGCACCGTCCTGACATCTAAAAAGAACGCGTTTTGTTTCTTTTTTTTTTGGTTTTTCTTGGTGTCTGGTGGTCCCACATCTTTCAGGGGGATTTTGGCATATATCTCATCTTATGAGGGTATTTTGCAAATTATCCCTTGATTATATAAATTCGTACATAAAAAAACAAAAGTTGGAAGGATGGTACGCCCAAGCGCCGTTGGGCCGGTATAGTATTGGAATGGGTGGCCTCCTGAGAAAAAAAAAAATGGAAGGGACGGAATCCTGCCTTCCGGTGTTGCTACTACTCTTATCTGCTCTCCTTTCCAGCATGTGCCGCCAAATGGCAAATAGGTAGTGTGTGCTCCAATTGTACCCTGTCCTTGTATTGCTCTGGATTTTCCTGTATGCAAAAACCAGTCGTGATAGATCCACTACGAAACTTAATCCCGTTTTGTTTCCCCTAAACAAACCTTTATTTTATTACACACAGGCCCAGTCCCCGAGGGTATACAAAAAGATTACAGTTTGACAGGACTTTTAGGTCTGCAAACCGCACCTGCTGGAAGACTCCCGTCCCCGCAGTCCCTCATTACCACAGGCAATTGCCTATCAGGACCAAACATAAATCTCCCCAGTTGGTCTACGGATAAAAGCGTCCGTTCGTCCGCGGCACAAGAATTGCTTTGCCTCACTGTTGGGAGGGAGAGGTGGTGGCCTTGCAATGTATCCATTCTCGGACCGTGGTTTGATTGCTCTGCTTCTTTGTGGTTACTCTACTATTTGGTGCGACTTAGGTTAACTTTGTCTAACTGCACTTGACTTGACCTCAGGAAGGATGGCACTTATCCTCTACTCATCTAATTGCCACCACGAGCTTCGGGGTTTATACACCAGGGTCTTCCACCAAGTTCCACGTCATGGGAGGTAATAGATGTCCTGCATCAAGTGGGTAGATGCTGTAAACGCGCTTGTACGTCCATCTCTGAGGTCTGCTGGGTAGTTAATTGCCTCTTATGGAGGGCAGTCGACGCTGCCCGTTGAGTATCGACCAATCAATACAGACTTGTGTTGTTATCTGGGATGCTGGAGCTCCTTTCCAGCTGCTGTTGCTCCCCACCAATAGATGGAGCCTTCTCAGCAGGCCCACTTAACGAGGAAGCTCTGACCACCTCATGAAGTGTTCCGCGTGTGTCGAAGTTTTGAATAGAAGGAACGGCTTTGCCTCTTTTGCGAAGGAGGGCTTAGGAGGGAAATTCCTTCTCGTTGCTTTTCCAGTCTATAGACCTACCCACAGGGAAAATATTGTGAGGCCTTGTCAAATTCCTGTTTTGGGCTTGTCTTTTGACTCTCCAGCACACACAGCAGTGACAGCACGCGCTAATAGTTCACTCATGAATATTCATGAGTGTCATGTAGGTTTATCGTGTGGTGTGTGGACAAGTTGCAAATTTGTATGGGTCCTCCAAGGGTGCTTCATAACACTCACAGAATCTGTGGCTGGTAGGCTGGGAACAGAAGGGGCTTGCACGAACCGACACAAATGGAATCTTCCGACAACTTGCGAACTGGTTTTGATAACACACATATAGCCTGAGGTCTTTTAAAGTTCCATGACAGATTTCCCTGTTTCCATACAAATACGCCCCCCACGAGTTTCTTGACAGATATACCAGCCGGTACCTTCTTTCCTAACAGACGACCCCTGTGGTATCTGAGTGTTTGGCCTGAACTACTTAGGTGGAGGCCAAACACCCTCCGGTAGCCCGTACCAGTACGCTCCTGGAACAGATCATGTTCCAAGCCAGTACCTGTACTGGCTTTTCTTTTCCTCTTTTTTTTTTTCCCATGACTCACTGTTTTTGAATACGAA